AGCCATTGAAAGTCTGGAATGAACTCTTTGACAGAATTGGTTCTGTGATTACCCAGCTACCCTGGTACAGCTATCTCCAACATAGGCAAAAAGAGGCAGCTCACCCACTCTGCTTATGTTGAGGCCAGGCAGAGTGCAGCTGGAGCAACCTCCCTAGTGTCTCCCTGCAGAAGAGCATGGCTGGAAGAGGTGCAAAGGCGATCTACCCCTCTGAAAGCCCTCACTGCTCCTGCCTCTAGCAACACAGGACAAGCTTTGGAGCTCTTCCCTGGCCACTCACCTCCACCAGCATCCCAAGTTTGTAACTACAGCCCACAGCCTTTGCCTCTCTATTTCTACCAGCTGACTGGTCAAAAGAAGGAAAGCAAGGTCACTGCGGAGGGAAATGAACAGAAGAAGCTGTACTCGTGGGATGCCGTTGTATTGGGGAAGGAAAGGGCACCTGCTGGTCCTGGGCAAGACTGGAAGTTGTGGGAAGAGGTCTGCAGAAGGGGGTAGGAGGAGACCTGTAAGACACCCCCTCCCTGCCACCAGCTGGCAGCACCCTCAAATCCCCTGTTCTGCTTCTCATCTCACACATCTGCTCATTCCTCAGAGTACTATCTTCTTCCTCCCCTGTCTCATTTTGCCACCACAACAAAAATGCTTGTGAACTTATCATGACTTGAGGAAGCCATGTATTGGACAAATGCTGTCAGCCCCAGCAAGCCCCATTTTGTATTTATATTCTGTTCAAGTAAGAACAAATTGAATTTTGTGAGCATACATCAAAGTATTTATACAGAAAAACAAGCAGTATCATTAAAGTATTAATACAGTTATCAGGATTCAAATTTAAAGCAGTAATTCCCAACCAAGAGAAATCTGTCAAAAAAAAAAAAAACAAACCAGAAAAAAGCAGAGTTACAAGGATCACTCAGTAGGCCTTGCTAGTGCCACCAAAAAAAGAAATTAAGAAAATTCTGTGCTTTGCAAAACAAACAGAGCACAAATATCAAATAGTATCACTGTGTTAACAAGTTATAACCAGTTCCCTGCTCCCATGAGACTGTATTTCATTATCATCATTTCAGTTTAAAACTGGTAAACCATTTCTGTAAGAAAAGGACCTCAAAAACTACTACAGCATACCGTATCTTCATGTTTAGAAGAATTCTGTTGTTGCAACACCCAATTTTTGCAGAATACAACTTTGCAATTCTTTATGCAAACTGAAGAATAAGGGAGTTTACTGATGTATCTTTAAAAACCACCAAAAAAGTAGTACCTTGGAAATAATTACAGATTTAACAGTTCATCCTAAGGGCTGTCCCTACAAGCTTCATCATCTACTTCTCAATTAAATTCAAGTGAACAGGTTAAAAACAACATGAAGGAGGAACTAACTTAAGCTACTTCAGACCCAACAGGCTGTTCCACGTCTTGGCAGAGCCAACAGAGAAATGGATTAAATGTTTAAAGCAAACACGGAGGGCACAGCTGTTCCTGAGTGTTGTTGGCTTAACAGCCTCAAAAGGCTCCCAGATTTGTGATCTCGCCTTGACCTCATGCAAAAGATTAAAAATCCAGATAAGAATCCAGCTAGTACCAATCTCTTTCCAGAAGATGAGACATAACTATGACCTAATTTCTATCACAGAAACTTGGTGGGATGAATCGCATGATTGCAGTGCTGTGATTGATGGCTATAAACTATTCAGAAGGGGCAGGCAAGGAAGTGCACACCCCCTATGAGGACAGGCTGAGAGTGTTAGGGTTGTTTAGCCTGAAGAAGGGAAGGCTCCAGGGAGATCTTACAGCAGCCTTCCAGTACTTGAAGGGGCCTACGGGAAAGATGGGGAGGGACTCTTTAGCAGTGACAAGTGGTAACTGTTTTAAACTGAAAGAGAGTAGATTTAGATTAGACACTAGGATGAAATTCTTTACTGTGAAGGTAGTGAGACACTGGAACAGGTTGCCCAGAGAAGCTGTGGATGCCCCCTCCCTGGAATGGATGGATGGATGGGGCTTTGAACAACCTGGTCTAGTGGAAGGTCTCCCTGCCTATGGCAGGGGTGTTGGAATTAGATGATCTCTAAGGTCGCTTCCAACCCAAACCATTCTATCATTTTAACTCTTTTTACAGGAAATATAAACAGCTTATATGGCTTGTAAGGAGTTATTTTTGTAGAGATAAACGATAATTGCATTTTGCAACTCTAGTTGCACGCCTAGTGGACAAGGGAAAGGCTGTGGATGTGGTCTACCTGGACTTCAGGAAGGCCTTTGACACCATCTCCCACAGCATTCTCCTGGAGAAGCTGGCGGCTCACGGCTTAGACAGGTGTACTCTGCGCTGGGTCAAAAACTGGCTGGACGGCCGGGCCCAGAGAGTTGTGGT